CTGCCACTCCCCACACCCTGGGTGCCAGGCAGCCTTACTCTCCCTTAACCTGAGGCCCCTCATTTCTGATCACAGCCTCCATGCTACCACTCCCCATCAACTCCAGACACCAAGCCCACTGGTCATTCCATTCATCACATTCATTTGGGTATACCCCAGTTTGGATAAGTTTAGTCACTTAAATGCAACCTCGATCCTAGCATCAACCATCTCAAAGCCTCTCTGTACCATCTAAACAAAACCCCACAACCTCCAAGGTTTTACCCATTCTTTCCCATCCCCCTCTTCCAGTCCAATCCAAGCAGAGCATTTATAGGATTCGGCTCACTAGAACGTTGGTCCTTTTACCCACCCTGCTATGAAACCTATTTTCTATGGGATAAAATTCATATAGCAGCCTCTGGATCTCTAGATCTTGGCCTGATTCTCCAGATTTAGTGTTCAATACTTAACCACAGGAAATCCCTCCCCAGCAACTTTCTTTCCCCTTGTTCTCAGGATGTGACATACAATGTCAGTCCATCCAAAGCCTTCACAACCTCAGGGGCCACTTTGTTCCCTCTTCCCTGAGTCCTCTCCTGCCATCAAGCCTTCTCTCCCATCTCCAGGGTTACACATTCTCGGGGCCCTCCTATGAGCTCTCAGTCACTGCCTTCCTCTCACTGAGTGGCATTGAATGTCTGCACTTTAGACAATAACCCCTGCATGGCAGGACTTGTTAGGCATTGAGTGTATTTTTCCAGCATCCCCCGCCCCCTCCAGTCACATACACAGAAACAATGTTTATTGAATAAAGTTCTTTCTGAACTCTAAACATAATCCCTCCTGCAACAAACATAGCCTTCTCCTCTGGCTCTATATTTAGCAGGTGCAGGGTGGTTCTTCTGCAACCTCTTTGAAATAACTTTACACAGTCTGGAGGGTGGGGGTGTGCTTATAAGGGTGTTTCAGACTACCAGCTCTCCAGGAAGGAGGGAGTAAGGGGTGAGGGGAGGGAGGAAAGCAGGGAGGAGGGATGGGTAGGGAGGAAGGAAAGAAGAGGGAGGAGAGGAGAGAAGGGAGGAGGAAGGAAGAAAGGAAGGGAGAGGGAAGGAAGGAACGAAGGAAGGAAGGAGGAAGGGTCATGATTTGTGTTTGTATTTGTATTTCTCATAGTGTAAACACTCCACTATGATTGGATGTCCAAGAAGGAAACCAATGGTTGATTATGTTGTGAAAAGAGAAAGAGAAAGATGTATTTGATATGTGTTGAAAGAATGTGTATTAATTTGTATATGAAAGAAAGATTATAATGAGAATATATGAATGTATATATAGAATATAAAAGATGTGTATATGTGTGTTGTATGGATTGTGAAGGATATAGTGTATAGGTATAATAGTGAATGGTAAAAGGAATAATTGGGAATGATAAAAAATATATGGGTTATGTGTGTGTGTTGTGTTTGTTGGGATTGTGGTGTCATGATTTGTAGCATTTGCCAATTCCCAGTAGTGTATACTCCCACTAATGATTGTGATGTCAAGAAGAAGAAAGGGTTTTTTCTGGGCTGTGGGGTTGACTCACGCTGTATCCGCACTTTGTGTTTGGCTGAGTTTGTTGTTGTTGTTTCATTGTTTATTGTGGATTTATTCCTGGTAAAATGGTGTGTCAATATTTCTACTAAAAATACTTATTGTTCTTTTAGTGCTGTGTGTTCGGGGTGGGCGGCCTGTAGTCCCCAGGCTTCTTTATTGAGTTGTTTTATTATTTGGCTTAAGAGTAAATGTGCTGGTTGAACCTGGAGGCGCCGGTGGGAGCTTGCAGGAGTGGAGATTCACGGCCACTGCACTCCAGCATGGTGCGGACGTTTGAGACTCCGGTCTCAGAAAAAAACAGACAGAGAAGGGAGAAAGAGAGGAAAGAAGAGAAAAAAAGAGAGGAGAAAGAGAGAAAGTAAAGAGAAAGAAAGAAGGAAGGAAGGAAGGAAGGAAGGAAGGAAGGAAGGAAGGAAGGAAGGAAGGAAGGAAGGAACAGAGGGACAAATAGAGGGCAGGCTCAGGATTTGTAGCATTTGCCCATTCCCACGGTGTAAATACTTCTACTATGGCGATGTCAAGCTACCAAAATGATGTCTCTGAACATGGGGCTAGAAACAGATGTGCATAATTGGCTCTTGCAAGCTACCGCAGGCTGTCCAGCACAGCATGTCCACTGCTGGGAGGTCATATTCATTATCCTTCTTAAATAATTTAGTTTTCCTCTCTGTCACTATCTCATTCTCTCACATGCCTCATGAAAACTTACTTTTTCTACTAGTGTTTATCCTTGAAGACTCAGGCCAGAGGTCATTCTTTGCAGAGCCTTCCTGACATGCCCAGCCCCTCCTAGAACAGCAAGCTGGATGCTGCTCTGTGCTGGCCCCACACTTTGCATAATACACGCCTGTGTGGATGGTGTGGAATAATTAACCATTACTGGCCTGATTTTTTCCCACTAAATCTGTCAGACCTCTGAGTCTGTTTATTCGCCTCTGGAACTCCACATCCAGCAAATAAGAAGTATTCAGTAAAAGCCTGAGGGAAGAAGAGGAGGGAGAGAGGAAGGAGGGAGGGAGAGAAAAAAATAAAGGAAGAATAAAGAACTTCTGGTTCTTCTTTTCATGTTTTGTTGCCATTTTGCAACCCAAGTTTCGCCCTGCTTCAAGTATTTCAAGTGACTAAGAGAAACATTGCCAGTTACATGGTATAAATCTTACCTTAACATATTCCTTACTTTCGAAACAATTTGACCTCCACGCCAGCTCTTTTAGCACTGAAGAGTCAGCCTCAGTGGGGCAGGGTATGAGGGAAATGAGAATGATGACAGAGGAGAAAAGGACCTGGAAAAAAATTGGTTCCCTGCAGGAGTGTATTCTGTTAAAATTGCATAAAGTTATGCACAGTAAGTTAATATCCACAGGGATTCACTCTGGGATATTCTGGATTACAAGGAGATGGGTCTCTCCTAGAGAGTGGTCAGCAGTAACTGGGAAGAGGTCTTTATGCCATGCTACTGAGCATCATAGAAACTACTAAATGCATAATTTCTCCCCAATACCACGTGAGTCATGGAGAGGACTGAACCTTCTCTGAGCAGAATGCACAAACATGGCAGCACTGGCAAATGCTACACACAAATGGAGGTGAAGGATGGGGCAGAACTATCAATTATCCTTTTACGGGCATCCAGCAGCTGGTGAGCTCACCCCAAATTGTAACTATCCAGGAGGGTCATAAAGTGAGAAGGCTCTTTACTCCTCCTCTGACAAAGGCAGGCGGGGGTGGGGCTGATGTGTGCTCTCTGGGATGAAATACAGTCCAGAACACATCGCTCTAAGCACATGACATAAATAACAATATTAAAGTCACTAACACCATTACCACAAGCCATAACAACAATTAATAACGCAAGAAAACAGAGTGCAGGACTGAAAGCCTGTCCCCCCTAAAACACTCTTTGATGTTTACTGGAGAAATCTGAGCCCTTAAGAGTTATCCAGTTTATCTGGTACCCAGCCTTCCAAGGCATGATCCTTAAATATGTCACCATCTAAACAGGAAGAGAAAATTATTTGCACAGAAGTGAAAGTCGTGGCTCAGTAACATTCTTAATGTAAAAGTCAATGGGAAATATGTATAAACTCATGTGGATCTGAGTCTGGTGACCCAACTGAAACTCCTGAAGGGTTGGCAGGAGCAGGTGGTGTGTCATTTCCCAGCACCCACCACACATATGCTGAAAGAAGTGTGAGGGAGAAGTTATTCAAGAGGGAAACCAGAGCAGGAAGATGGCGGCCTAATGGGGCAGAATCTCAAATGTGACTTCCAATTTCACAGATGACTTTTTGACCCCTGAGTACATTAAGAGAGCAGTGAACAGAAGGATGGTGACATTCCCCCTAAAGATAATATATGAAGTAGCTGTAAGACTTTGACTAAACATATTTTATTGAGTTAAAATATTACTGAGAGAGGCAATTCTATGGCTTTCCCAATAATGATATGAATAAAGCACTTCTAGATCCAAGAACCTAAAAAAGATGACAGCATGTTAGTGAAGAAAGCTTGGACCATGGCTAACAAGAACTGAAGAGGAAGAAAAGAAGAAGAATGTTATAGAAGAAAATAAACAAATTTAGCACATCTTTTAAGAAGGTTTATAAGACACAGGAATGAGATTTCTTTTAATGATATTTTGAGATGTTTTATCTGATTTACATTAATAAGGCTAGGTCCGTTACCAAATTGACTCAACTACTAGCCCATTAAAGGAAGATGAAAATTCTAGATCAGTCTTAGGTGTGATTTCCTGAGAGCATCTCAGGCAGTGAGTTTCACGCTGGGCTGGGTTTCTATTCCAGTGCAGGAAGGTGGATGAGGGCACACACATTTCTTGAGAGTGAAATTTGTCTTATGTTGTTACCAGCTATACCGTAGACTTTTTGTAAGGAAAAAAAAAAAAAAAAAGGAGGCTATAGGTTGACTTTCTTCTGGAGACAGTGGTCTCTCTTCTACTCATCATGGTCTGTCTTCAAATTCATGTACATAGGAAATGGAGAACTTACAGTATGGCAAGATATCTTGACTTTAAGCCATTGAGATATCATTGTTAGTAAGTGGAATACTAAAAACGTAGATTTCTTTCAAAGCCTTCTCAACTAAGTACCTTCTGTCTCTCTCCTTATCTGCATTTGGTGGTCCATTTCCAGAGTTATTTCTGAATCTATAAAACTGCAGCTGACTTTTCTGCAACAACAGACAAGCCTGGCCACCATGGTCAAGGTCCCCAAAGATCCCAAGTGATGTTTTCTCTCTGTCCTAGATACACACGTAGATAGTTCAGACTCATCTTCTGAGGAGAAAGAAGATAGAAGCTCTCCTCCTAATGGGGTCTTTCATACTGAAAGAGACCATCTAGGTGGTGGAAAGAAGATGTTTGGACACCAGGAGAACAGAAATAAGACAGGAAAGAGCCATACCTGCTCCGATGACCTCTTCAATTTTCACAAAAGATACATCAATCTCCTTGGCGAACTCCCGGACAGCTTCGTTGGGATCCTCATAAGTGAAGGGGTCAATGTAGATCTTCATCCCTGGGGAGCCTTGTTGGAGGAGATAAGCAGGGTTAACATCCCAAAGAGGACACAGCTGTCATTCAGCACTGCTGATGTCCCCAACACTAAGGGCATTCCTGGGAGGAGCTCTCTTACACACCAGGCTGCAACTTTTCTCTGCCTCTCCTCCTCTTGCTGGGCTTCCCCATCTCCCTTCCTTCTGGGTCATTCTAGACTGAATCTCTGTCCTCTACTTCTCCTCCATATTTTCTTCTTTTTTTTTGAGCTTTTGATGAAATGTGGAGCAGATTACTTATAAATGACAGATCAGGACCAGTTCCCACACCGGGCGCTCACAGAAGGCAAGGAAGCTGATTGATGCCAACCAAATGCATTAGCAGAAAAGTGGTGGTAAAATGGTAGGGTAGATATCAATATTTATCAACTTGACAACTTTCCTGAGTGGAGGCCACTGTTAAGGTTATAACTGACGGCTGTGGTGCAGGGCTGTAAGAGGGATGAGGATGGATTTTTTTTTTACAAAGAAAGAAATTGCTGTTAGAAAAACCTGGAGATGGAAGTGCCAAGACGGTATACCAGAAAAGAAAATGTGAAGAGAAAAACTTAGAAAACACTAATAGAGAAAAGAGCAAAGTCTACATAGAAAAAATGAGGTGGTATGAAAGAAAAATGGTGATTGAATCTTCATGCCTTCGGACACACTGAAGTATGAAAAACAAATAAAATGGTGAATGAGAAATACATAAAGGAATATAGACCTTGTCACTGACATATACAGTGGCAAGATAAATAGGTGTGCATGGGGACAAAGTAGAGAATTGTCACTGCAGAAAAAATACATTCAAAAAGTAGAGGAGAGGGAACAAAAAAAGGAAATGGAACCCAAGAAACAAATGCATTCATTCACAATGTAATTTTTCAACACGTTTGATATGTCATTAGGCAAAGTACAGGAATTGTTTACATGGTGGTGGGTGGTGGAAAGGCTGAGGCTTCGAAGGTCAAATGACATGGTCCGGTATCACAGCCTTGGGAAGAGTAGGGGCTTTCCCTGCCAGGTACTGCTGTCTCATTCAAGAAACAGTCAGGTCAGCAGGGGCAAGCAGGTCTAAAAAAGCCACCCTGTAGGGTGCAGGGACTGGGGCGCAAGGCTGAGGTTAGGCCTCAGGTTTCACGAGCTCCATTTTAGCACCTCCCTCCTCTTCATGTCCCCCACCCCTCACCACTGCAGCTTGTTCCCTGGTGACCCCCAGCTCTAGTTTTGACATTTTCCATCCAAAATCTTCTGATGGCTCTATAGCTCCCCTAAACTGGTGTTGCTTGGTCCCCAATTCAGGCAAGGAATGGAAATACTAGAGTATAATCCAAATGAAGATGGAAGATACAGTTAATCATTGAGGGGAATTTTTATTTTTATTTTTATTTTAGTTTTTTATTTTCTGAGATGGAGTCTTGCTCTGTCGCCCAGGCTGGAGTGCAGTGGTGTGATCTCGGCTCACTGCAACCTCTGCCTCCTGGGTTCAAGCAATTCTTCTGCCTCAGCCTCTTGAGTAGCTGGGATTACAGGCGTGCACCACCACACCTGGCTAATTTTTGTATTTCTAGTAGAGATGGGGTTTCACTATCTTGGCCAGGCTGGTCTTGAACTCCTGACCTCGTGATCCACCTGCCTCGGCCTCCTAAAGTGCTGGGATTACAGGCGTGAGCCACTGTGCCTGGCCTGAGGGGATTATTTTTTAAGTTAAGGAAGGCCGGGTGTCCTGCCCAGAGGAACAGTTTTTTTCTGAAAGGTGAGTTATTCCCAGTCACTTGTTTTAGGGTTGTTCACATCATTCCAGAAGGCTCCTTGAAAGCTTTGGGAGGACACTGACTTGGGAATATAGAGACTGAAATGTGGACAAAGCAAATTGAGAGATCCTCACCTTTATGTAGAATATTCTAGTCCCCAGGATGGGATATGAGGGGTGTGTGTGTAGGAAGAGACTTCTGCTTTAATAACAGTGGACAAAGAGAAAAACAGAGATGGGGGTGCCAGGCCTTTCTCATTTGTTATAAAGAACAAGTGAAGAGTAAGAACAGACAAACCAGACTGGAAGCATATAGAGAACCTCGGTCAGCATCTCCAGGCCACCCCATCTTACCTTGGGTTCCCCCAGAAGCAGCCCTAGAGGCAAGATTTTTGAAAGTAAGTGGCTTATCTGGGTGGTGATCCCAAGAAGTACCTGAGATGAGAAAGGAAGTAAGATAGAGAAAGGAAGGCAGCCTGTAAGAGGTGGATTCTCAAGCCACCAACCATGTGGGTCATTGAGCAGGCCTAATTCCCCTGAGATTTACATCTAAACAATGTCTAGGTTAGCACATGCTTCAGAGTTGGCCCACCTTGGGGTCGAGGGAGCTGTGATATTTCCACACAATTGGTCAGGGGCTGCTTGGCCTGTTGTACGGGTGGGTGGGGGAGGCTCCAGGGCCAGGGAAAGCAGTCAGGCAAAGCAACACTGATGCCGCAGGTGGAAGCCAGCTGATGTGCAACTGGCAGCAACAGACGCACTCAGAATGCAAAAGGGACAGCAGGTCAGTGTCAACAAGCTGTGACTTCTCCCAGATTGTGTGCTGTGATGAGAGGAGGTAAAGAGCCCAGATGCTAGGACCCAAAGGTAAGGTCAGGACCCCCAAACCTTTTACTAGCCCTGTGTAATGTGACAAGTCGGCACACATCTCTTAGCATGGTTTCCTCCAAGGTGGCTGTGAGATTAAAGAACATATTGCTGATGACATACCTAGCACAGTGCCTGATGTACAGTGATGACTCACTGACTGACAGACTTGTTATATCATCAGTAAATTGTTCTAGGAAGTGTTTGGGGAGGTAGGAAGAGGAAGCAAGCGGAGGGTGGGCAGTGGGGGTTGTAAGCCGCTTAGGGTTATATTAGTTACTTTAAAAATAACTACCTTGTTATTTTAGATCAAAGGCTTTTGAACGATGTATGCTAAGCTGTCCTACAGGAACTCTTCCATGGAAACTAATTAAACAATCTAGAATATGCGGTAATGAATGGTTTGCAAGTAAAGATATACATAAGGATGAATGGGAAAGGATTCTGAGTTAATGAGTTTTACAGATATTGGCCCCAATCAGTTCAAGGAAGGAGCTATTCCCAGAAGGGAAAGGGCTCATCTCTTAATGATGCCAGGATTCTTTTGGGCCAGGAAGGTGCAAATAAGTACACACAAATGGAACAAAGTCTGCACTGTGAAGATGGGTGCACTTTACTGATGAAGAGAGGTGTGCTGCTTTGCTAGCTTGTAGAATTAAGAAGCATGTGTGTGCGTGTGTGTGCACACACATATGTGATGTCGCAGCTGCTGTTCTGGGGCCATGGGCTTTGGTGTCACTGAGGTCTTTCACCAGAAGCCAAGTAGACTGCCTGGAGTAGTGATGCAATGTCAATTTAGAACATCTTAATGGCTGCATTTATGCAACCATTAGACTCAGTACTCATTTTCTCTGAAATTGAGGAAAGCATTGTCACATTGAAGAAGAGAAACTGAAAAAGTGAATCATTGGTCTAACAAATGGTTCAAACTCAATGACTTTCCTCTAAGGTCTGATAGGGAGGGCTGAGAAAGTGGCTTTGGTGTTGCTCCTCTGTGGGGGGCAGTAGTCTGTGTTCTAAATCGGGAGAGTGACTTGGTTGAGCACTCTCAACCCAGCACGTAAGGGCTCCCCTTGCATCCACCTCATCTCAGAATGACATATATTCCTAGACCTCTCTCCTACAGTACAGTTAGCCTTTCCAAATCTTAGATGATGAGGGAAAAAAAAGTCTTTAGCTAGGCAGAACAGGTCATTTGTCTTTTGGCTCATTTTGTGTTTCTGCATAAATCCTCCATCAGCCTGTTCCTGCTCCCACTTGCCAGTGAGCAGTTTTTAATTATCAGGAAAATGGTGTTTAGTGCAATGAATCATCAGACAGTGAACAAGGAATTCAAGTCAGCTACAGAGTCGGGCACAGCCAAACATTTAGAGACAGGGCTCAGAAAACGTTCTCAGATTTGTGAGTGTTGGGGAAATATTATTAGTGGCGGTAATAATAATATCAGATGTAATATATCCCTATAACGTAAAGCATTTTATAGTAATCTGTACTATGCTTTATATTATCATTATTGCTAATATAAATATTGTTAATGTATTTATATTTTATAGTTTCCAATTATTTTCATCATAGGTTACATACCTGTGGCACAAAAATGTTATGTATGGATTAAACTGCTGATTATTAGTACCTCAAAAGAGAGAAAAATCTTTAATTTTGTGTTCTTTTAATTTATTAATTTCGATTAAAGATCTAATTTGCAGACATCTGTGTTCTTTGACCTAAAAATTCACTTATGCTATAGTTAAGATAAACTACAGCCTTAAAGGACCATAGTCTCAGGAGAATTACCAAATCTTAAACATGAACCAAGCCTTTAAATATATTAGGTTTGGGGAGAAATGATTTAGCCACTGTCCAGAACCTTGTCGCATGGAATGGAGTAGTTCTTGAAGTTCTTGAAGCAGAAGAAACTTCTGACCATTGTCAAAGACCCGCATCAGTAGATGAGGATGCTCTCAAAAGTGAAAAGGCTGGGACATGTCTCTGGGGATGTCGCAGACATGTAGAGTGTATCTGAAAAGTGGGGGAGACCCTTTACAAGTGCCAGGGTCTCAGGGAAGAGCAGAAGAGGGCAGGGAAGAGCAGAAGAGGGCTGGAAAGAGCCATTTTAAACAGTAGGTGATATTTGGGGATTGAAAGCTGGAGGGAGAGGAGTGAATGCTTCTATCCAGGCCTCCTGTGCATTCAGGAAGTACAAAATCAATACCATGGACATCTTAGTGGAGACCATGAATACCCACATGGCTCCAGGGGTGCCAGGAAAAACCTGGCACTTCCAAGCTGGTGGAGGATGCCTAGAATTCCACAGTATGGTTTCAGAGGTAGCGCATTAGGCTGTGTTTAGTCATTAATATTTTTGTGTCCCAG